ACTTTAAGTAAGTTTTTAAAGCGAAAAATTAAAACATTTGCCATGAAAATTTTCTTTAATTTTCTGTCCTTTTTTTTCTTTTTTCATTTTATTATCTTCAAATTTTTCTGTCTTGCTTTTCTTATTTTTTTTTATTTTAATTCTATTTTCAATTTCAAAGTTTCGATTATTATCTCATTTTGCCATTTCACTTCAGTGATTTAAAATATAACAAAAAAAAAAATATCCCTAGCTGTTATACTATTTCAAAAAATTTGTTGAAAAAACTTTTTCATCCCTACCCTATATATAAATATTCCTCGCAGTTTAAATACGAGTAACAAGCATGAGCTAAATAAGAATAGAAATAGTGTTCAAAGCATAAAAAAAAGAGAAAGTAAGAAAAATAGATTGAGTATGAATGGAATTAACTAAAATTTTTCTTTTCCTTCTTCCCCACTCTCTCATCTTCTTCTTCTATTTCTTTGTTAAATTTATTCTAAGATCTATTCAAGAGTAGGAAGAAGAGCGAATCACTGATTACTAAAAATGTTTAACAGACTATAGATGGAATGATTATAATAAAAAACAAAACACAAATAAAAAATTACAATAAAAAATGGTGACAAGCTTTCACTAAATTTCATTCACTCACTCACTTACTTACTCACTCACCCGCACTCATTCATTCATTCATTTATTCATTCATTCTGAAAAAAATAGAAGTGGAAATCATTTCAAAATCCTCAAAAAAAAAAAATATAAATTCTTTTTTTTTTTTTGCTTTGCTTCCTTTTTTTATTTTTTTAAATGTCTAAAACGGTAAATCCCATCATAAAAAGGAAAAAAAAACAAACTGCAGTAATACAACAACAATAACAAACAAAACAATAACAGAGACAAACTCTAACAACAAATGACATAAAAAAAAAACATGGAAATCATCCAAAAGAGACACATTACGTTGCGTGCCACTCTCGTCAAAAATATTATACTGAGCTTCTCAAAAAAAAAAAAAAAACAATAAAATTGGATTTTGCAAAAAAGAAACGAAAAAAAAAATTAAACCTGAAAACGGAAAATATCTCACACTGGGTAAAGAAATTGGAAAAAAAAAAATAAAGAAAATTATAATAGAAAAGAAAAAGAAAATTATAACAATAATAATAATAACAATAAAAGAAAAGGACCTTTTTAGACGTCGGGATCGTGAACGCTCATAAAAATAAATGTTCTTATGGGTGTGAGTACACGTAATCCCTAACCAAAGAAACGTGTATCGTTTATCAAAGAAAAATTTACTATCATATACAGTAACTCTATATATATGCATATGTACACACTATATCCACACTATACATAAACTATACATATGTAACTTATTAAAGTTTGTATTTTTATATTATTAAATATATTAAAGAAAAGGATAGGTTTATACTGAAGTGTATAAGTGACTGTTTATAAGCACGTCTCCATCAATGAAATGAAATGCCTGTTTAATATTGTTTTATAATTGGTGAATTGCAGATAGCATTATAAGTAGTAATGAAACTTTTCAATTATTCTAACAATCGTGAAGATTAAGAGTCACAGGATGTATCGCTCTTTTCTTTTATTCATCGTTTTTCGTATAATACATCTTTCATCAAACAAAATATCCGGGGTTCAAACCTGAAACATTCGTTTTGACATACAAATAAAATGTGTTCAAAAAAAGATGCCATAAACACCAGTTGCCCTAACAAAACCTATAACGTTCAATATTGTTGTGACACCGCAAATTAAAACAATCCAAACGCTTTATAAAACAAAATAATGTATCGAAAATACATACAGTTTCACTAAGATTTGTATCGGCCGCAAAACTATTTAATCTACTCAATGTTCGCGCACCATACAAGTTCAATTGTTGGGGAGACTATTTCATATACTCTATCCAAGAGATATCAAACATCAAAATGTGGATACTAAGATTGACCTCGTTATGCGAATGCCTGGTTCTGATGAGAAAGGGAGAACTCTTCTTTGGAGGATATCAGTTCGACGGATTGGAGAAGCTCTCGGGGTCACCTATACGTATTCTGCTGAACTTTTTCAAGGAACTTTCAAGGGAATGGATGTGCTGTGGAGGGATGTCGATGGACCTCCTACTGGCCTAATACTGGGCGGCAGCGTTGACTAAACTATTTAAGGCGTTCAATCAACTTTCAATTAAAGAGTGAACGCTAAACGATGTAGACAATCAAAAGAGAATGATAATATGGTGTATAATTATCACATTAAAGATGACAGAAAAATTTATCAACCTTTAAATCTAAAGCATCGAAACTAATATACTAAGTTCACCCTTAGGCAAAAATTCATTAAAAGAAAAATGTGGCGAGAATAGCATGCAACCAAGTTAAAAAATCATCAGAGAATTGACCCAAAAGTTTTGAAATAGATGAATGATCATTAAACCTGGGTTAACAATAATAATTTACCCGCTTCAAATCGAAACTTCTTAATAATACAAAATTCTTATCAAAACCGGACTAACCATCAATTTTGCAAAAATAAATCGCTTTTTTAAAGATTACGGTACGTAACCAAGGACTTTATTTTAAAAAAAAATTTAATATACATTTCTGTTTATGTAAACAAAGAATCGAATAAGTTTCACAAATCTCAATAAACGTATAATATGTATGTATACCTAATATTAGCCAATTAGAAAATTATATATATAAAACATTCACATACTCAGATACACGAATTATCTACTCAAATATTCAACTTCCTGTACTAAATTCTTTATTTTCACATATACATAGGTATAGACACCCAAATATAATATACATACGAACATGTATATTACTCAAGTATAACATATGAAAAGGGAATAGGGATATGGTAAAAAAAAAAATAAAAAAAAACGAAATATAATTGAGTTGAGACAAGACTTAAGCATTTTGTAGACATCATAAAAAAAATCAGACAGAAATAAAAAATTCTATACTCAAATCCTCAGATATATACACACACCCTATATTCATATACACATGCATACATACATAGATTTACAAAGTATATATACACTTAAAATTTAACACACATAATTTGTCGAACTACAAAAAGAAAAGAGAAAGTAACAAAATAAAAAACCAAGCAAGAAATTAAGGATAAGAAGAAAACAAAAACAAAAAAAGTAAACTGTAAAATATGTAGGATCTATTTTGAAAGCTCCTTTAAATTATTTTTGATTTTGATTAAATTTAAAGTGAATAAGGGAAAAAGAAGAAAGATAGAGAGTGAAAAAAAAAATTTCAAAGTATACGAGAATTAAATGAATTAAATGGGAAACAAAAAATATAAGAAAAACCTTAGGGGAAAACGGAAAACATACAAACTAAATACTTAAAAAAAAAAAAACAGAAACAAAATTATTACCGTTAACACAATAACGGTAGAATTTTTTCATAACATTTTATTTACATTCTTCTCTTTTCCTAATTAAATATTAACGTTGTACTATAAATATACCGTAAAATTTTTCCATTTTACGCTATATAATAAAAATTACAGTTCGCGCCCATAACTATGCAATTACTTTTTTATTACTTTTTAGTACTATTATACAGATATATTAAAAATTTGTTGAGATTTCTTATTATAGTAAAATGGTTTTTAAACATTAAACAAATTAAAAGTATATTTAAGCATGCAAAATTTTGTAGCTATCTGATAACGTGATTAATGTAAATATTCTATAATTGCATAAATAAGACTTTTGATTGCCCAATTCATAAGTATATAAACAGTTCAAATTTTCATTGTTATTTCTACTGTAAATAAACTAGATTCTGTAGTAATATAAATGACTATAAGGAGGATTATCATTTCAAAAATAATATTCTCATTAACTCGCAAACAGCTCCGTCATAATTTTTTAATCAGTAAACTCGAATCATGATTAAATTTGACGCTGACGTTCAATTAACATTTTAATGTAGTTCTAAAACTTGGTTAATTGTGCTCCCGTATTTGTTAATCGTAGATTGTAGATTATACAGATATGGGGTAACAATGCACCGCGACCAGCATAAGGAATCTACTGTGATAGTCTCCCATCAAGTATGGTGCTCGCACCTAAAACTCTTCGTCGAAATCGAAACCAATGAATTCGAATAACTTAAAAGGCTTGGAAGACAGTAGCTCCGCTGGAGTGAGCAAATAGTTTCCCAGTGTTTCCCCTATCGTACAGGTGAGCGCACCAAAGCCTCCCAGATAATGCACTGAGGTCTCATCATTCCCTCCACAAAATCTGCAAGGGTCCCCATTATTTAGTTGCTAAGCCTGCAATGACCCGTCGAGACCCCGGTGAGAATTTTCACCTGGTTCCTTCCCAACCATTTGATCTTCCTAAAGCGGTCGTAGTCTACCAGAGGAAGTGCCTATCGACACCCGAAAGACATCTCAAGTTCCTTAAACGCCCCCTTCTCCATTTCCTTTCTTAATTCTTCACGAACTGTATGTGGCTCGAATTCGCACAAGGGCTTTACGTCAAGAAGAAATATGCTAGCCTCCTTTCTCGCGTCGCTATATTTATTAATACTCTGCACTGTTATATTTTCAGTAATAGAAATAATTTAATAGAAAATTACAGAGAATCAAAATTATTAAATTGAAAGAAAATATTCAATTTAATATAAACAGACAGACGAACATTGCAAATCAATTTAGATAAAGTAAACTACAAAATTGAATCAAAAAGAGCGGATCAAAATAATTCATTTTGTTTTATCACTCTTACTATTTGCCTCTTCTAATTTATTATCCCATTATAACTTGACAAAAATTGGATCTGAATTCCCTCCTTACAACGCGATATCTAAATTTCTTAGTAAATACGAGCAAAAAAAAAATGATTCCAAATAAAAAAAATAAAGAAATGAAAAATAAACTGATTTTAATTTTTAAAAAAATTTTTTTTTATATTTAAAAATTAATTTAAATTTTTATATTTGAATAATCATTAATAGGATTAGAAGCAGATTTATTTTATGTAAAAAATGGTGCTGTCAATAGTTTTGCAATACAATTTCGTGTTCCGGTTAAAGCTGATCATTTTGATATACAATTTTCATGGCAAAGTTTAACAACATTTCCGGTAAAATACTAAATTTTAACACTAAATTCAAATTCACTTTAAATCTTCATTTACCATATTTAATAGTTACCATATCGAATATCAGTTGAATATGAAATTAATGCCACAAATGCAATTGGATCACCACAAATAAGTATACCAACTGAAGGTTATGTACCACAACAAGTTGAAACTTTTACTATTAATTTACCATGTACTGGTAAAGTAACACTTGAAGTTCCTTTTACAATACATATGTTTGTTAAAGGACCGCCGCGTCATAATGACACGAAATTGGATTTAAAAAGAAATAAAAATTGTACAAAAGGTAATTTTCTAAAACATGCAAATTTTTGAAAATTTATCAATTTAATTTTTCTCTTCTAATTTATTAAAAAACAAAAAGGGTTTCAAGCACCACCTAAAAAATTTATTCAAGCACCAGTTCCTGCTCCGGCATCAGCACATTCACCTTCTTCAGCTCAGGCGCCATCACAAGGACCTGAATTATTGGGTGCAGCTGCTTGTGCAATGGGTTTAATATTAGTTGTTGCATTAATTGCTAGTGCAATGTATGTTCGTGCTAGAAAACAAATTCGTCAGGATTCATTACAGTAAGATTACAAAACAAAAATGTTTTTTTCTTTAACTTTCAAAAAATTTTTTTCTTAACTTTAAGAACTAGTTTTACTACAGCCGCTTATGATAGTCGTCAAAATGTTTTTATACGCTTAGATCCATTAGGACGTCCACCAAGTGCAAATAGTGGATCATATGCAACAATAGCTAGCTTAAATAAATTTCCATTAACAGAATCAAAAAAATCATGGTTTCGGAATACAGGTTCAACACCATCACCATATGCAACAGCATTACTTCCAACATCTGATCAAATTGCTGAAACAATATATTCAAAACCAGAATCAGTCTGCCCATCTATGATATCATATTATGCATCATCACAAGTAACTCAAGTAATATAACACTTTATTTATCCTTTCTATTTTATTTGTAATTAATTATATTTAAAATTTTTAATATATATAGTTATTATCAACACCAAAAAGTATACGTAATAATGGAACTTATGAAGCTAAGGAAAAACTTCGACGTATACCAAATATACAACCTGGTATGCTAACATGTGAAACATTAATTAAAGAAGGAACTTATGGGAGAGTCTATTGTGGTAAATTGGGTGACTCGTGTAATGTTTTAATAAAAACAGTTGTTGATGGTGCTTCTTTAACACAAGTTGCATGCTTAATTGCTGATGCTTCATTATTAATTGGTATTAGCCATCAAAATATTTTAACACCAATGGTAGCAAATACTGAATTACCCGGTCCACCTGAAATTGCATATCCAAATCCTCTAAAGGGTAATTTAAAATTGTAAGTACACAAGCACATATATTTTATTATAAATTATATATATATCTACACATAAGTAATATGATATCAAATTAATTTAACAAACATAAAGAGATAAAAGAGAAAACATTAAAAATAAAAGAAACACAAAAATAATTTAATTGCATATTTAAAAGGGATAATTTTTTTTAATCCTTTTTCTTTTCTTTTTTCTCTCTTTCTCTCTCTCTCTCTCTCTCTCTCTCTCTTCTATTTATTTATTTTCTATTCTATACCATCTCAACATTAGATATCTTGAAAATGCTAGAGAATTAAATTCACAATTAAGTACACGAGTTTTAGTTGATTTTGCAATTCAAATAACAAAAGGATTGGCACATTTGCATTCATTAGGTATAATTCATAAGGATATTGCAACTAGAAATTGCTTGTAAGTATGGATGACATAAAAGAAAACAATAATTTTAAAACAAAACAAAAAAAAAATAAAATTGTGTTATAATATTTGAAATTGAACTTTAAAAGAGATTTTTGTCATTTTCCGACTCATTTTTAATTCATTCCTTTTTCTATTTCTCTTGTTTTTTTTTTTTTTGCAAATATTTGGATATAGTCTGGATGGTGAAAATGTAGTTAAAATAAGTGATAATGCATTATCGAAGGATTTATTTCCAGATGATTATCATTGTTTAGGTGACAATGAAAATCGTCCAATTAAATGGATGGCATTAGAGACATTACAACAAAAATTTTATTCAACATCAAGTGATATATGGAGTTTAGGTGTTTTATTTTGGGAATTAGCAACATTAGCTGCAATACCATTCGTTGAAGTTGATCCATTTGAATTGGGTCCATATTTAAGAGATGGTTTTCGTTTAGGGCAACCAATTAATTGCCCTGATGAATTGTAAGAAAATTCCATTAATTTAGCTAAAAATATCGAAATATTAAAATTCTAAAAAAAAATTTTTTTTTTTCATATTAGCTACACCGTTATGTCATGTTGCTGGTTAGCTGATTGTAAACAAAGACCATCATTTCCACAGCTTACTGCCTATTTACAGGATTTTTATGAAGACTTAGGAAAATACATTTAAAAAGCAGTAAAATAATAAGATTTTCTAATCTACTCTATAATTATTTTGTGCAATTTTACGAATTTATTATTGATAAATTTAAATTTGTTTTTTTCTTTTATATTACGCCAACAAGCAACATTTTTTTTTATTTTCAAAATAGTTCCACATGATTGTAAATAATAAAATAAATTAATGTTAGTTATTATATTGAAAACTATAAGAAAAAATCAAAAAAAAAAAAATATTAAAAAGAAAAACAAATTATACCTTAAACCTAAAACATTTCTCCTAATAATTATACAAAAAACAAAAACTGTCACACATCGATTGTCAATCAAATTGTAAATTAGTGCGGAAGAAAATTGAAAAATAATCGAAATGAATCGATTTGTCAAAATTGATTTTTCCTAAATTGAGTGATAATTAATAATTAAAATTAGCGTCATTGCAAAGTAATCAAACTATACCCAAATGATTTTAATTCAAATACAGTAGAACATCCATAATTCAAACCACATTAAATTTCAAAAATAAATTCAAATTGGTATAGTGTGAAAGTAAGGAACGCATGTAGGTAGGAAGTGAAGTATTTTATAGTATTAAATCAATAAAAAATACTAATACATATATGTTCCATTTAAATTTAATTCGAAGTTCACGTAAGACAAGTTTCACTGTATCTTGTGTGAATAATTTCTATTCAAAAGTGTATTGAATTATATGACATACAAGGTAAAATATTTTAAATTTTAATAATTCAAATAAATAAATCAAAAACAGGAATAATTAAACATTATTTTTAACATCAATCAAGTTACAATTTCCAATTTTCAATTTTACAATTTCCAATTTGTTTTTCAATATAACGACAAGATCCACGACTAAAATTTACAATATGATAAATGGCAATGATGTTGTATAATTAATATATTATAAATGAATCAAAATGAATTCAAAATGAATGTTATTATTTTTTTTTCTCTATTATTTATTCAACAAAAAAATAAAAATTTAAAATAGCTAGTTTATTTTTAAAAATATGTTACTTAAAGATTTTTTGTTACCAAATGATTGTTTTATAGGAAATTATTTATAATATGTACTAATAGCTACCATCAAAAATCCTAAAATTCTTAATTTTAAATAGTGTAATCTAATATTAAAATGCTGAATATTATTTTCTTTTTAATGATTTAAGAACAAAACTAATTGTCATTGACCAAAGAAACAATAAAAATGTAAAAATGTAAACAAATCAATAAAATCAAAAATACTCGAAAAATACTCGAAATATCAATGAAATACTCGAAAAAGAACAAAAAAGTTATCTTGAAAATAAAAAAAAAATTATGACAAACATTGCGTGACAAATTATAATTTGGGGATCAACCTAAATGTGTGCGCAGCGTGTCACGGGAACACACTGCGTAGTTTGACATTTATTGTCAAAAAATTTGTTATGTGTCAAATTTTTTACTAGGGTATAAAATTTTCCCAAAAAAAAAGGGGTTTATATTGTTAATTTAAAGTTTCTAAAATCCAAAATTATTTTAAAAAAAAAAGTTTATATTATTAAATTTTAATTATATGGAAACGAGAACAATTTGACACAAACACTATGCGTTACGCGCCAATTTAGGTAGATTTCTAAAACATTTTCATTGACAGCTTTCAAAATTTATTTTTTTTATAGTAATTATTTTTATTTTTGGTTTTCAATATAAAATTGTTAAGGCCAAATTATTTCTTGAGCGTAAAAGACATAATTAAAACATTTTACTACTTAGATTATTAAAGCTTAAAAAATAATTTTTTTATTAATAAAATTCAATAAAAACTTCGATGTTCCATAGAAATAAAATCAAAAGATTCACTTTAAAAAAAAAACAAATTAATTTTTTTTTCCTATTTTAGTTTATAATCAAAATTTATTTTTTTTATTTTAATAATTAATTAAAAAAAAAATTCAACTGATATTAAATAATTATTAAAAAAAAATACAAAAAAAAAAACAAAAAAATTATGTAACAAGGGTATTTTTTTATAAAAATAATTACGTATATATAAAAATTGTGATATACTAGTAAGTGTAGTACATGTTTTTTAAAAAAAAAATTATTTATTAATTATTATTATATAAATATTATAATTATTAATTTTTATTGTAAAAACAAAAATAAATTAAAAGAAAATATAATAAATTATATAGTAACTAAATTAAATAAAAAAAAAAAACAAAAAATAAAATTTATAAAATAAATAAAAAAAATCAAAAATTGTAAGTAAATTAAAAAAAAAAAAAACAAAAAAAAAATATTTTCAAATTCCTTGCATATAAAAATTTTAATGGAAATTTAAATAAAACAGGATAATAAAAAAAATAAAAAAATTAAAAAATAATCAAATTATTGAAAATTACATTAAAGTTAAAATTTATCAATAATTGACAAACAAAAAAAAAATAAAAAAAAACCCAAAAAACTGTCAGTGTCTATATACGAAACTCTCAAAAAATAAATTTAAAAAACAAAAAAAAAAAAACAAATGCTAGTTTTACTTAAATAATGTTTTAATAAATGATAATAAAAAAAAAAATAAAAATGAAATTAAGAATTAATTTTGGTGTTATTTTTTCATTATTAAAAATGTTTTATAGGAAATGAATCGAATTAAATAGTAAGTATATGAGTAAATGTAAACCATGGTCGATTCCTGGAACGTTTGACCAAAAAACAATATGGCTCTCTTAAGACCAAAGGGCAGGAGCTGGCCAGATCTAAGTATATTAGTAAGTGTTCTCACTGCGGACATAGCCTCTCGATTTTCCATTTAAAGGGAATGGAGAAAACGGCGAGTGAGATGTGCCGTCTTTGCCTTGAAGAAGACGCGGCAAAGAAAGCATCTGTTGTGCGTGTATGGGAGGCAGTGATTCGCCTGATTTCCTTGAAGAGTTTCATAGTTCGTCGTACTGTCAGCTTATATATAAAATTTTAAGCTAATATATGTGTTGAATATTTTATTAAAAATATAAAATCGTAAGTAGATAATATCAAAAATAAGCTCCTGGGAGCTCAAATATCGCGAAAATTAATCGAATCGTTTCTTTTTCTCGAAAATTCGAATATGCGAAATTTGGTGCCATCACATAACCTCCCTTACTATATGCAATACAGCCGCCAAAAAATTTAAAAGCCATCTATCGGAAGGAATAAAAATATACTTCCCCCCCTCTAGTAGACAAACCCCCTCTAATCCCTCTACAAAACCCCCTCTAATAGAACCCCCTCTAATAGAACCCCCTCTAGTATACAATTAAACAATAAGCTGAGTAATAAAGTGAATATTACAAAACACACCAGATAATAAGCGTAATAATTGTTATACATCTATTATGTTATGCATATAAAGTGTTATATAAATATATAATAATAATTATTACCACATAAATTGTTAAAACGATATAAGTTTGAATACACCTACATTTTTCTACTAAATTAAACTAATTTTTTTAAGTTCAATTTAAACTAAACACTACTAATATATAATTTAATATAATTTAATTAAATTTTATTTTACATTTTATTTCTAATTATTTGTAAATTTTTTTTTTTGAATTTATTCAAATTTTTTGATTATATTTCAATTTTCATTCAACTACAATTTATTTATTTATTATATTTAGTACTATTCGTATTTTATACATATATTTTAATATATATATATATATAATAATATAATACAATATTTAATTCGGTAATTAAAAAAAAATTTAATATCAATAAAGAGCTCTTTTAAATTTTATAATAAAAATTATTATTCATCCAGAAATGTTATAAAGTAAAAGTTAATTGTATTTTCTTTTAAAATAATTTGAAATAAAATGTTCCTATATATATATATATAATATACACGTAGGTATATATAAATATATATAAACAATTATATATATTATTAAAAGCACTTACTTTTATATGCATATTATTGAAAACTTCATATATACACTTGAAAATATACAAATACGGACGTAATATACTATATTAATATTGTATGTTATGTTGAAATATATAATTATTATACGCACATGCATATAATGTATAACACATTACATATAATACATAATATAAATGTGTATAACAATTCAATGTATGTACTTGTCTGGATAAATAATTAAATTTTAATTAAAAATTAAAATCTGAATTGAAATTGAATTCAATCCCATTTATTATTGAGTTTAAAAGTACAAACACTTAATAAAAAGTCCTCCTAAAAGTATGCATACATATGTATAATATATGTTATGTAAATATACATAATGTTATATATTATTATAATACCTAATATACTATATGTATATGGTAATAAATTTAGATTTTAAAGAAAATTAAATAGAGAAAAAAATAATATTGCATACTCGTATTATATGTATAATAAATCTTTGTACAGAGTTATTCGAAAAAATTTAAGATTTAAATTTTGAAAGAATCTATGTATACAATTTATGTGGCAGTCAATACGGCAAATTTTTTACTAATAATAAAATTATACAAGAAAATACCATATTTATATAAGATTTACTTATGAACTACGAAGTATAGCTCAGTAAGCAACAATATGACTCAGTTTACAAAAGCTATAACAAATAGCTATATAGAACAACAACTGTAGAGCAATTATAGAAATTCTCTTTGATTCGTTTGTTATTGCATTTATTTTTTCTCGAGAGAGATAGCCATTCGAGATAGAAACCTGACGTAGCCAATATAACATTCATGCTAAACTTCGAAATATCATTAAAATCCTTTAAAATCATTTTTATTAACTTTGTAACTGCACTAATATATCAAAGTTTTCCAATTAATCAATTTAAATTTAACAAATAATTTGTTGGAACTCATAAAATACAAGTTATATATTTTCTTAAATTTCATTCATAAAATGAGATATCAATAAAGATGTAGACAGCATTTCGTAATGTTTGTAAATAGTTTCAGGTATGAAATTCGAATAGCGATTTGGATTTAATTAGATTAACCAAGTAATTATATTCTGCTCTTGAACGTTAAATGTATAAAATTATGTAAAACAATGTATAACCGGCCTGCTTTTCCTTTATATGATGTGTTTTGGAAAAATATAACATTTTTTCTCCTTGCCTCCCATCAAATTATAAGTGTTACGCATTATTTAATCACCCCAGCCCTAAAATTTAAAAAAAGAAAACCACAGCCCTTTTACCATCATATGAACATTTTAATTCGAGTAATAGAAATCGATACATATCAATAATCGAACTGTTTACGAAACTAGTTAAAAATAATGCATTGAAAACTAAAAATTTTAAAAATAAAATTATTTTCTATTTTATACCCCAGATGGGACTCGAACCCACAATCTCCGGCTTAGGAGACCGATGCCTTGTCCATTAGGCCACTGGGGCTACAAAATTTATTTCTCTTCAAAAAAATTTTTTTTAAAACGTATACTCTATAATGAATAATAAATGAAAAAAAAATTTGGAAAGTTGCCACAAATTATGACAATATCCTTTACTTATTTATATTTGTAAAGAAAACAGTATTTTTCATGTAGCCCCAGTGGCCTAATGGATAAGGCATCGGCCTCCTAAGCCGGAGATTGTGGGTTCGAGTCCCATCTGGGGTAAAATTTAAAAAAGGCTTGATTTTTTAAAATTTTCTTTTTTTTTCTGTTTCGGTAATTAAGCAATACACGTTTGGTGTTGCACCTATTTTACGAAAAATTTGACCAATTAATTTTACTAACTAATAAAATTTGTGTACAAATTGTCATGAAATTATTTTA